CGCTTTACGTCCGATTTATGGTCTACATAATCGACCAAGTGAGCAAACAATTAATGCGATTGTGACCAAGTTTCGCACTCAGTTTACTTTATTGGACATTAAACCAACCACACGAATGCGTACAGTGCGTACAGAAGAGAATATTGCGTCTGTTTCTGAGAGTGTTGCTGAAGACCGTGAAATGTCGATTCGTCGCCGTTCGCAGCAATTGGGTTTGTGTTATTCGACCACATGGAAGATTTTACGCAAAGATCTTGGTGTAAAACCGTATAAAATACAGCTCGTGCAAGAACTGAAGCCGAACGATCTGCCACAACGTCGAATTTTCAGTGAATGGGCCCTAGAAAAGTTGGCAGAAAATCCGCTTTTTTATCGACAAATTTTGTTCAGCGATGAGGCTCATTTCTGGTTGAATGGCTTCGTAAATAAGCAAAATTGCCGCATTTGGAGTGAAGAGCAACCAGAAGCCGTTCAAGAACTGCCCATGCATCCCGAAAAAATGCACTGTTTGGTGTGGTTTGTACGCTGGTGGAATCATTGGACCGTATTTTTTCAAAGATGCTGTTGGACGCAACGTTACGGTGAATGGCGATCGCTATCGTTCGATGCTAACAAACTTTTTGTTGCCAAAAATGGAAGAACTGAACTTGGTTGACATGTGGTTTCAACAAGATGGCGCTACATGCCACACAGCTCGCGATTCTATGGCCATTTTGAGGGAAAACTTCGGAGAACAATTCATCTCAAGAAATGGACCGGTAAGTTGGCCACCAAGATCATGCGATTTGACGCCTTTAGACTATTTTTTGTGGGGCTACGTCAAGTCTAAAGTCTACAGAAATAAGCCAGCAACTATTCCAGCTTTGGAAGACAACATTTCCGAAGAAATTCGGGCTATTCCGGCCGAAATGCTCGAAAAAGTTGCCCAAAATTGGACTTTCCGAATGGACCACCTAAGACGCAGCCGCGGTCAACATTTAAATGAAATTATCTTCAAAAAGTAAATGTCATGGACCAATCTAACGTTTCAAATAAAGAACCGATGAGATTTTGCAAATTTTATGCGTTTTTTTTTAAAAAAAAAGTTATCAAGCTCTTAAAAAATCACCCGTTATTTACTATTTTTATACATATGTAGGTCCCCCAAAAACTCAAAAAATGCAACGAGGGACCCATAAAAAATCGTTAGTATCGAAAAGAGAGAAACAGAGTTTTCCAATCGAAAAATATTGATTTTCAATAATTATACGAAAGATTCTTTTTCCGCCATATAAAATCCATGGACAACTTTAAGGCCCAATTTCAGATGAGCTATTTAAGTAGAGATTGTTGATTAACTGCAAAAATTCATTTTCAGATCATATATTTAAACCGCACTTAAGTGGCCAATATTGGCTATTTAAATATGAGATATGCAATCCTGTGTTTGTACCAAACAACAGCATAAAATGTAAGCAAACAAACAAATGCAACAGCAATTTCAAGGAACCAGCAAACGTGCTGCCACTTGCATAGCATATTTAATTAAAGTTGATCTGAAACCCAACGAAAGCTAAATGGCATTTATATAACACTCCAAAATTAATCTCAAGTGCCATTTTTTTATCTGGCCCTAATAATTAATTAAATTTTTTTTTGGAACACCCAAATGTATTATTATTATGATGAGCCTTGAGCACTGTGTCTAGGGTGGACTATTTTGCGGTGCTCTTTACCCTATTTTTTTTTGAAGTGAAACTTCTTTAGCGGCGGTTGGTTGGTTGGGAGTAAATTGGCAAACTCAACGGAAATTGCACACGGAAATGGTTGGGCCTGAAACAACTGCTCCTTGTGTGTATGCATATGGTATTAATTTAACTAAAATTTGCTAATAAAAGGTTAACGGAAATGGTGGAACGGAAATGGTGCAACGGAAATGATTGGGGCTGAAACAAGTGCTTCTTGTGTGTATGCATATGGTATTAATTTAACTAAAATTTGCTAATAAAAGGTTAAAGAATAACACTTTGAAAAAGGCCAATACAAGAATGAAAGTAAAGGTGACTACGTACATAGATAAAGAAAGGTATAACGGCAAAGGTAAAAATAAAAACAAAAACAAAGATGCGTAAAGATAAAGGCAAAAATGAAGGCCAAGGTAAATTTAAACACTTTACTTATATATATAAGGGCAAAGGTGAAGGGGAATATGTATGCAGATGAAGCAAATGATAAACATAAAAATATAGACAAAGAGGAAGATGAGGATACCGATAAAAGTAAAGATGAAGATGGGGAAAGAAAGTGTAAAATATAAGTAATTAAATAGGAAAGGATATAGAGAGAGACACAGAGACACAATCTGGAAATTATTTTGGGATTTTAGAAATTGTCAGAATTCTCGGGACTTATCGATAAAATAATCGAGATTTTTTCGGTTTTGTTATTGAAATTTTTATCGATTTTGTTATCGATTCGTTATCGATTTTGTAATCGATATTTTTAACTATTTTGTTAGTGATTTTTTTATCGATTTTGTTATCCATATTTTTATCGATTTTTTTATGGATATTTATCAATTTTGTTATCGATATTTTTAACTATTTTGTTAGCGATA